GAAAGGTGTGGGCTAACGTATTAGCAGCTAAGAATTGCCATCTCGACCTGGGTTATGCATGCTAAAGGCACAGGCCCTTGTACATATATTTGCCAGTACCTTTCAAATCCTAGCTCGGACTGTGCCCAAGAGGGAAATCTCAGGCCAAAACGTTCAATCCAGAGAGTCTGCAGGTCTACATAGCTAGGCTCTGCCACAGAAGAGGCCTGATTCTGTAAGGCAGCGGTTCTCAACCAGGGGTATGTGTACCCCTGGGGTACGCAGAGGTCTTCCAGGGGTTACATCAACTCATCTAGATATTTGCCTAGTTTTACAACAGGCTACATAAAAAGCACTAGCAAAGTCAGTACAGACTAACATTTCATACAGACAATGACTTGCTTATACTGCTCTATATACTATACACTGAAATGTAAGAACAAGATTTATATTCTAATCGATTTATTTTATAATTATATGGTAAACACGAGGAAGTCAGCCATTTCTCAGAACTAGTGGCTGTGCCACTCTTGTATTTTTATGTCTGATTTTATAGGCAAGTAGTTTTTAAGTGATGTAAAACTGGGGGTGCACAAGACAAATCAGCCTCCTGAAAGGGGGACAGGAGCCTGGAAAGGTTGAACCCCACCACTGCTCTAAGGCACTGAGTACCTGTGGCTCCTATTAGCCTCCATTATAGCGCTGACCATCAGGCACTGACTCCGGATTTAGCAGCCTGCTGTGTGAATCCTTCAGCTTCCCCACTCAGCACGCCAGGGAGGCCCCAGAGAGAAGCTGCAGCCAGCTGGGGGTAGCTGCCAGGGGGTTGATTTCCCCCCTACCGGGGCCTTGGAAGCAAAATCAGCTTCAGCATCCGTTCTGCACAGTCTCCATCTCTGTTAGGGCACAGCTCTCACTGGGGCAGCATGTTCCACTTCCTGGTTCACAGGCCCTCTCTTTCCCTTCTACGCCTTAAAGGAGCAGCGTCCCTCCACCACCCACCCCAAAACATCCCATGCCCCCAACACACAGACTCCTGTCCCCACTCCCCCGCCTGCACACAATCACTTCCCCGTCATTTGCTGAAATGCCAGGGGATCACACGAAACCTTTGCTTGCCGGCGTTACATCATTAGACCAGTGCTTTTAAGATCAAGGGGCTTCAGGGGCAGGCGGGAAGAGGGCCATACGGCTCACCCAGAATCAGAGCCCGCAATCTCATCTTTCCTTCCCTCCCCCCAAATCTTGAGACCTTTTTGGTGCTGCTATTGTGTTTTTTGGAGGGTCGCTTGATTTTTGAACATCGCGCCTGCAACACACACGGACTTTGCCAGCTTGAATTCACCCAAATTTATACAGTAGTAAGGCCAGACTGGCCCCAGCTGCCTCCTGATGGGACGGCGCTTCCAGCCTCTCCCCAACCCCCATATTATAATTCATTCAGTCCATGCCCCCCCCCCAACTCCATATCAGTCCCTCTCCCCATGCAGCAATTATTTATCCCCTCCTTCCCCCATTGCTGCCTGTTCAGGTTTTCTCAGAATCGTCCCTTTGTTGAGGCCGCTGGCCTGGGAAATCCGTAAGGATGCTCAGTGCACACGCCCAGCTGCCTAGTGTTATAGGCGCAGGCTCTTCCCGGATGTCCAATTTTTTTTTGTATCCCAGCCCCTGCATCGATTCCCACTGCCCCAGCTCCCCTCCTGCTCCTTTTTCCCCGCTCCCAGGGCTTGGGGGGAGCAGCCAGGTCCTCTTCTCCCACTCCCCAGGTGTGGTGTTGCAGGAAAAGAGAGGAGAGTAGTTGTGAGACGACTGACCTCCAAGCGGTGAGGCTCTATCTAGGGCCAGAGCCGTGTTTTAATATGTGCACAGCGCCCAGCCCATTGGAGCACTGATCTCGACTGGCGGCTCGGGGCATCGCTGCAAAATGAATAATCATGAATTGTCCAAGCTGACTGCGAGGCAGCAAAGGCGCCAAAAAGGAAAGGTGATGTTGTTTAGAATTCTTTCCCTTCCGGCAATCGCAGGCCCTGCTAGTAATCTGCACAGTGCGTGAGTTTAAGTACCTTTGACTTTAAGGCTCTCTGGGGGGAGGATTTGGCCCCCGGCACTTCAATGAAACATTTCCAAGCTCACTCACAATTGTCTGAAATCGCCCTTATTCCAGCAGTTACAAATTCAGCACTCCAGTGTTACTTGTATCACCACTGCACGTCACAGCCCCAATCATGGACTATACCCCGTTGCGCTGGGCGCTGTACAAACCGAACAAAAAGACAATCCTTACCATCTAAATGATGGGCTTGATTTCTCTGCTGAATGTGATTGCTGATATAACAGAAGTCACCAGGTGGCACTGTTACATGCGCTCAGTTCTTTTTCTTTGCAATGAAAAGGATTTCTGTTTGGAAGATAGTGCTGTGGTGTACTTTGTTTGTGGGTGTAGAGTTGGACTTATTTTTCAGCGGGAGCTGTGGCAAGCAACAAG